AAAGTGCATATTACCCAGGTTAGCCAGTGGTGTGGTGGTTAAGGTGACTGGATCCCATATGGCCAATTGTGTTGTGCATGTGTGCCCCAAATCCCTAAGGAGAAATGGAGAAGGGATGGCACCCCTGTAGGGGTGTGTTCTCACTTTCCCTCTGTCTTTGTCTCTCTGGGGAGTGTACACACCCTATGGCAAAATTAAAATTGAAAAAGAAAAAGGAATGCATATAAACTTTAATTTTTACAGTTAACGTTTGCTTGGCAAGGAGAGATTGGGGAATATAACCTAAAAGATGTATGTTCTGTCTTGTCTGTCTGTATTTCTCTCCTCTCCTCTCCTCTCCTCTCCTCTCCTCTCCTCTCCTCTCCTCTCCTCTTCTTTTCTTTCTTCAGTAAGATCCCCAACAGGGCCTGTCCACCTCGATCCTGAGACAGCCAGGATCACAGGCACGTGCTCATGTGCCCAGCATGTACAAGGACACTTTGGGACATAAACTCGGTTGGGACCTTTCCATGTGGCCTCAGCCTTGCAGAGTGTTGCATTACCACTGCAATTGCGTGCTCCTTCTTAGGTGAAAGAAAATCCCTGATAGACGCTTATGACAGTCACCATGAACCTTGGGATGACGTCTTGGTCAACAACAGACTACATGTATAGTAGTGACCCCATGAGAAAACATATAGGCTGCACCTAATCTAGGCGTGTAGAGGGTTTTTCCATCTAGGGTTGTGTAAGTACATGCTATGATGTTTACACAACCATGAAATTGCTTAATGACATATTTCTCAGAATGTATCCCCGTTAATAAGCAACACGTGACAGTATATGTAAGAAGGAACAAGGAAAAATGTAGATTATTTAGAATACAGATCTTTTGTGTAGCAGTTACTATGCCAGGAGAAGGGGACTAAAGATGGATAAGGTATGTTTCTGCCTTCAGGGTGATCAGATTCTTTCTTTTTTTTCCCCAGACTCTCTCTCTCACTTGAACAATCAACAAGTATAATATATTTATTTTAAAGTTTGTTTATTCCATGAGAGAGAGAGAAAAAAAAAAAGGCATCCTCAATGGGATCTTCACACTGCAGTCCACCCTCATCTTCAACCAGCCTGGATCATGGGCATGTGAGGATAAGCAAAAGCAAGGAAGTCTGAAATTACATAGGACCTACAAGTATAGCTAGCTTTCTGGTAAGACATAAAACTGGGAAGGTGGTCAGAGACCAGATTATGGATAGTTGTTTTTACTGTCAGAGAAATTTCAGTTTTATCTTGCAAGTGAGTAGGAGCCATTTCCATGAAAGACCTAATCAAGCCTGACCCATTGTAACTGCCTGCTGTGTGTCAGGTCCTATATTAAGTATAATACTATGTATTTTATGTCATTAATCTTAGAGAAGGCATAGTCATGACTGAAGCCAAAATTGGGAGGAAAGAAATGTAAGACAGAAGGAAAGTTGGACAAAGACATGCAGATGAGAGAAAGCGTGAAACACTTTTAATGGGAAGTTGTTGGTTATGATGATAAGCAGCATAAGATGAGGCTGCACGGATAGATCCTCAGAAAGTATTATGTGCCATTCTCAGAATTTTTACAATTTTTTCTATAGATAATAACAGACTTTGTGGATTTTTATCAGGAGAGAAACATGGTAAGTTTTTTTTTTTTTCTTAGAAAACTCATTCTGGAATTGTAGTTTTATGGATTTCAGAGTGGAGGGAAGAGGCAAGATTAGATGCAGAAAGACTGGTTAGGAGGGTTTTGCAATATCAGTTGGGGATACAGAGGAGTACGTTAATGAAAGTATTTAGGGAGTAGAACTTACAGGATTCAGCAACAATTGGATTTGACCAGTAAGAGAGAAATAGAATAAGGTGACTTGGATTTTAATTTGGATGATCAAATAGACAATGAAACAGTATACTGAGATGGGGATTAAGAAGAACAAATTTGGGGAGGATCAGTATTTTTAGCTTTTGGACGTATAGCTCAGTTGATGCCCTATGAAACATCCAGGTGGAATCATCTGTTAGAGAGTTGTGTATGTGGATTTGGAGTTTAAGACAGCACTCTTCTGAGCAAGTCATCAGGCTGTACTTTGAGTAGTATCTGAAGCATTCAATTTAGGTACCACCACATAGGAGTTCAATGACCAAAAGTAGTTCTGGAAATAGGCCGTGGAGATCAACAACATTTAAAGCCAGGTAGAGGAAGAAGAATTGGAAAAGTAAATCTCAATGTTTAGAGGTACAGAAAAATCATTAGAAGGGACCAGCAGATGGCATAATGGTTACATTGCTGAACTGCGCTTTGCATCCTGGACCTGGTGGCTTGAAATTTAGTCCGGGCATGTGTGCCTGCGTGACCCAAATCCTGAGAGGATAATGGAGAAGAAGGGATTGTGGCATGGCCATCCCTTCTGGAGGATGGTTTCTCACTTTCTGTCTCTCTAGTGAGTGCATGTACCCTATACCAAAATTTTTCTCAAAAAGAAGAGTCATTAGAAAATGTTGTTATTGAGAACCAGCAGTTAGCGTAAATGGCTATGTCGCTGGACTCCCACGTAGTCGACCGCGGTTCGCGTCCGGGACCTGGTGGCTTAGAACTCACGCCGGGCGTGTGTGCGTGCATGCCCAAGATCCCGAGAGGAGAAT